CATTTCCAGCAGAAAATATTTCTTAGTAGCCCCTCACTCACATGCTGCTCACCACAATGTTACAGGAGTATGAAGTTGATAGCAAAACTCTAGACACATGTATCACTTGAAATAGGACCTAGACAACTAATTCAAACTGGCTGCAATGCAAGCTGCCATGAGAAGTGAAAACTGAAAGATCCAAAATGCTACAGAAGAAAAGTCAAATGCTACGTCAAAGAAACTTTAGTAGTTGTGCCGATACATTCCTGATTCACCAGAAAGCAGTCAGATAAACTGCTAGTGTCTACAATACTTGCTTAACCTGGTTAACACCACTGGGGCCATCCTCCAAAGTACCTGCAGTATTGCTAAGCAGTAGTTCAGACAAATAAGCTGTTAACGCGCCTGTAGAAGATGCCCCATACTTGATACCAGAGTTACCTTCAGCGATGCAGGCAGAAAGACTTTCACATTTATGAGGCGCTTATTTACTGAGCTAGCTCTTTTTGGTTCCAATACACCGTTTTAAATCCAAACTTCTTTGTTCTTAATTATCAGAGTGGGTGAAGCTAAATCCTATGATAAAATGTTTTAAATTATTCTTTACCCAAAAGTAATGCCGAACTCTTCTGACTGTTGAACTTCTTACACCTTATGAATTAACTTCCAAAAATGTATACACTTATATTGCTCACTGCTTGGGAACCCAGCACCCAGGCTGTATCAGCTTCAAAGAACAAGATGCTAGTAATAATTGTCTCACTGATTATATTACATTTCAAGGTAATTGCTTTCATAGTCTAAATTGTCTTTTTAAAAAAAATGCCCAAACTAAAAATACATTAAAATGATTCCAGGCTTTCTCTTTTAAGTGTATGCAAAATATGGTAATGATATACAACTAATAATGAAGCAACACTACCATGAGTCTAGCAAATGAAAAATACTAAATATTTTTAAGAAAAAAAAGTGACTGTGAGAAGGACATCTTGGTATAAAAGATTTGTTTACATTCACACATGCATTAGGGTTCCTTTTGAAGGGGAACATGGGTTCATTTTAGCTAACACTGATATGTAAGAGCGGAGGGGACTCTCACTCCACAGAAATTCTGGAAAGCAACAGAATTGTTAATTAGGAAATTAAATAAAAGCCTAATTCTGAATCCTACCAACTGACAAAAAGGAGAACCTGAGCTACAAAACTTGCTCCCAGTAACGGTGTGAGCAGCAAATAACTCAGCACTTTAACAACCAAGTGTGAATCTGCATGTCTGGTGGAGTATTTTTTAAAAACTGAATACATACAAAGTAAGGTCATACTATAATGCACAATTTGATTATCTTTTTTAGTAGCTGTTTTCAGAACTTAAAAAAAAAAAAAAGAGATAAGCACTGAACTAGAAGATAGCTCATCCTATAATGCATTTTTGCAATGGTTCATGACATCTTCAAGTTACCTGGGAGAAGAAAGACGTCTCCTTTCTGATTCTCTTCTTTTCCTTTCTGCAGACCTACTCCTCACTCTTCTAACTGGAGATCGGGTTCGAGAGGGGGATTTACTCTGTTTAGATCTACGATCATTAAAGAGAGGGGATCTGCTTCTTCTTGACTTTTCACGTTGTTTGGGAGATAAGCTTCTTCCTTTTGGGCTACGGCCAGGTCTTCTAGGGGACCTGTTTTCTTTCCCTGAAGAAGCATCTTTAGAAGGAGATTTAATTGGCTTTTTTTCTTTTTCAGTCTCTGACCTCCTAGGTTTTCTATCTTTGGACCGTGATCTTCTGTCTTTGGATTTGCTTCTGAGTTCTGTTGGAGATTTAGATTTTCTGCCACGATCTCTGCTTTTGTTTTCATTTACAACTGGAGACTTTCTGCGATCTCTTGATTTACTTTTATCATCAGCTTTATTTCTATCCTCTGGGGGAGATTTAGACTTTCTGTTTTTTTCCTGAGATCGCCTTTTAAGCATTGGAGACCTAGATTTCCTTGTCTGATCTTGAGACTTACTTCTCTTATAAGGGCTTTTAGATTTCCTCCTCTCTTTTGACTTGCTTCTAGTTGTCTTCTCTTTGATTCCATCAACTGCTGCCTTGCCTTTTTTTTTGTCAGATCTGTGCCTAGTCCTTTCCTTTGATTCACTCTTACTTCCTTTCTTGGAACTAGTTTTATTGTCCACGGGTTCTAATTTCCCCTTAGTGTTTGACTTAGCTGTAGGTTTTGTTCCATTTCGCACCTTTTCATTAATCTCTCCCTCTTCTTCAGATCCTGATTCATAACCTTGTAATATTAATCCCATCCCGGACTGGACTTTTCCTTCCATTAATTCATTTTCAAGTTCAGCTTTCAATAATGCTCTTTGTTTCTCCAAGTCTTCCAGAGGAGCTAAAAAATCAATTTTAGTTCTTTTAGCTGGTCCATCTTCCTTGTCAGAGGTATCAGCTACCTCTTTCCGTTTATGTTTCTTATGTTTGTGTCTGTGTTTATGTTTTTTGTCCTTATCATCTTCTGAAGAATGTTTATGTTTCTTGTGTTTACTTCGGTGTTTGTGTTTCTTTTTTTTGTGTCGGCTGTGCTTGTTCTGAGGTTGGTCTGCCTCTGATACTTCCCCATTTTCTTCATTTACACTTTTCTCAGAAGCATCAACATCCTCAACCCTGCAAAAAATAAAAGCTACACATCAGTGCTATCAATTCACTGCAGTCCTTTATCTTCTCTTGACAGTATTTTTTATGATAGAAACTAACTGGCATTTAATTACCTACCTCTGAGAGAATTAAAAATGTACAACTAATGTCACAAAGTTATAACAGCAGATACACTTCCTCACGAACAGAGAGCTATGATGGCAAAAATAAATACTATGGAAGGAAGATATAGCAAATGCACTAACAAAACAAACTGTGTGGGTGAAATCAATGCTTATGCTTTCAGGTTCAAGACTGACAGTATCTGTTAATAGTATACAACAGTGCTGCATATGTATGCATCCTGTCAGTCTATCATCTGTTTTAGCTGCTCTACTCAGATGCCTAACCCAAGCTATGCCTTTTAGAAGTATTTTCAAATGGCAGAACACAGCTGTGCTCCAAAGATCAAAACTTATTTCAAGGGATGACGCTGACCACCTAATGAAACAATCTTGCAAAATCTCACACAAAGTCAACTGATTCTTTTAACTACTATTTCTTTCTGTAAATGTACAACACCTGTTAGAAAATCAAGAACTGTTCTTATCAGGTGTTTACATTATTTATGCAATAAAGGGAACAGTATTGAGGAATAGGATAAATTAAGGAAGTCTGATTTCAGAAAAGCTTTCTGATAGTATACAGCAGACTATGAGCTTCCCAAGAAAAAAGCTGTAATCTTTAGACCTCTAAAATGACATTGGCCAAAAAAGCAAAAAATAAGAGTACAGCAGGTTATTAAAATAGTAACATATAGTGTTTCTTCTAGGAAAAAAAATTTCAATTAGCTAGTTATAGCAACAAGCAATTTACATAGTGTACTTCATAACTTATAAAAATCATAAAATTCAGTCCTGACATTATGCATTCACCTGTATTATCTTCTTTAGATGCTGCAACTGGCTTACAAATATATATTTCTACAGTATTTAGCAAACACCTTCTAATCTCCTTCAGAATATCAACTAAGTTACCATCTGTGGTAAGAAGGATATTTGCCTTCTGAAATCTGTTGCCAAATATTACAGGTGCTAGAGTTTACCTTTCTACAAACTCACCCCATCTAAGCTTCAGTTTCAGAATTTATTAGCTAACACTTTAATAACTTAAATATAGCTCTATCTGTATCCCAACGCTCATTCACCAAAAAGAAATTCCCTAAACGTGATGGTCAGCAGTGGTGGGGGGATGTACACAGAAAGGTAGAGATATCTTCCAAACTCTACTAATTTCATATGATAGATGTTTCTGAAGAACATGATCAACGATCCAACAGAACAGATATATCAGAGGTATTCTAAGCAAGACCTGAAGGATGGCACTCCACTATAAATTCCATTAGCATCTTCCCAATTAAAGACAGGATCTTCAAACAGTGTACAGTTACTAATTCTCTCCTGCATGAGTTAATGCAAAGTCTAGTACTAGTAAATAATCCAGACTTTTCTGCAACATACACTAAAATTATTTGCTAAAACCATTAACACTTTAGTGCTCTGAAATTAGAAACTTCCTAAGGGAGCAAACTGTTCGCGTTAAAAATATGCAATATTTTTATGTATGCTTTTTCTTCTACATCTTTCCCACTACTTCTGCTTACTCAAAGCTTATAGAAGGAACAACATTGTTCTTAATTGCTCCCTCCTGACACTCCACACCATTATGACAACAGAGTATCAGAAAGAAAGGGGACTAACTGTCATAACACGAGTTTGCTCTATGTTGCATTTGTCACACAAGACACTAAAAAGAAGGAAAAAGTATTACATGTAAAACTTTCTCAACTTGGATTTGCAATCCTGAGCAAGTATGTCAGCGATGTAAATTGGCTAAAGGGCAGAGAAATGTCACAAGGAGAATTTTAAGGGAACTATGCATCTTTTGAGATCTCTTTCAGGCGGATACAGGATGCTGTATACAGTCCCCAATAACACATTAATAGTACTTCAATCCGTCATAGAAATATTACAGAAAAACAAAAATCACATCCATTCAAGCTGCTCCAGATTAAGTCATCCTTCTCTTAATAGCAGAAAGTAACACTGAAATCTACAAGGAAGCTATTTCATTATCATATGTCTTTTCATGTTATGTAATAACTTCACCTTACATTCTGTAAGGCGAGCTGGTAGCAGAGGCACCAGATGAGGTACAGCACCACAGCAGTATCTCAGGCCACTACAGACTGCTAATGCGACTGCCAACTTTCCTTATTTGTACCTCAACTATAAAATTACTATTTTTTTTCGTTAACATGCATTAAATATTACAGAGTTTATTCACATAAAGGAATCAGTTTCTTTCAAGTAATTCCATCAAAACACGGATAAACTTTTACTTGTTTCAGAAGTGTAATGACACAAGAAGCTTTTTAACAAGATCTCAGAAGGTGACGAGGCAGATCAGTAACTGCACTTTAGGTGCTAATGGCTTTAACTAGGGAGAAACTGTGACATCTTGTTATTGTCCCAGTTTTTCTTACTTTTGAATTCAATAAGAACGATAGGAAGCTCATGAAGATTTGCAAAGAGATTTCACCCATCTTTTCCCACAGTCAGGCTTCCTATAACCAGTTTTTGCCTTGTTGATCTTAGTTTATGTTTCTCCGTATAATTATAAATACTCTTCTTCATGTGCTCACATGTTTTACATGGTTCATATGTACATCCATCCACTGCTTTTCCTCACCTGTTTTCTACTTCTATGATTAGCCAGAAAAAAAAAAAAAAAAAGCCTCATACCGTTGCTTTTAAAGGGAGAAAAAATACAGAAAACAGTTTATAATCGTAAAGTGTTCATATAGTGAAGAGCAGCAATAAAGTAAGCATTAGGTTGTCAACTCCGGGCAAAAGTTCCAGAGCAGAAAGTGTTCCCGAGCTCCTGGGCGACCCCAAACCCAAATCTCAGGACGCTGCCAGGGTGCCTGCGACACACACCCCAGGAGCGCCGGTCCGGCGGGGAGGCGGCAGCTCCATTTTCGCCTCCCAACG